CAAAAACCAAACGAAAAACTGGATCGAAAGAGACCATTTTAAGAAAGTTATGGCAAGCAGCCACTACCCCAAAAAACTGCTGTTCTAGCACTAGCTCAGCTGTGGCTCTGGTCTTCCAGTTTCCGGTCTGGTATCCTGCTCTGTACAAAAACATCTCTGTGCTATGGCTTTTCCTGGTGAAAACATTAATTTTCCRGACAAGAAGTTTGCTGAAACAGCATCAATGTCACTTAGATTGTCTGAAGCCATTTTGCATATGTATGTTTCTGGCACTTCTAGAGCCTGGACTGTKGAGTCCTTAGCAGTCATGTGGACACTCTGCTTCAAAGGCCTTTATCCTACTGCTGAACACATCTGTATCTTTTGAGAGGGGAAAGGGAAAACTTTTGAGAAATAGGCTGTTAATGGAGAATAATAGATCAGCAAGAAGCCAAGGAGTTCAGCTGTGCTAACATAGGGGAGGTCTTTCTTCCCCTGGTACTGGGCCTGTGCTCTGTCTCAGGCTGCTGCTCACTGCTCACTTGACAGTTAATTTTTTTTTTTTTTTTTTAAACAACTAAGCATAGCAATATGCAGAGCTGACATCTTTATCAGTGTGTGACTTATATTGTTCCTTTGTCAGCTCTCCAACAGCAGAAGAGGCCACAGTGAAGATTGATAATGGTCGTGATGAAGATAATGGACCAGACACCTGTACCAAGTAAGCTAATGGTATACTGAATTCCTTTGCTTACCTCCAGAAGTGGAACCTGCTGAGCCAAAATAAGAAGGCAGATGGCTTGCTTAAGTAAAGAGAAGCCCAGTGAAATGCTTGATATTGACATTCTTCTAGTACATAGTGAAGACTAGTAAGTTAAGGAAGCCTCTTTATGCCTCTAGAGATGAACACAAGAAAACAAGTCCATCATAGTATGGAAAATGGGTAGTGCAAACTGCATTGATTAAGTTTTCCCAAAGGAATGAGTCTACAAGAGCACAGAAGAACAAGTTCTGGTAAGAAAATGAGGTGAATCAGTATGTGGGGATAATAATAAACATTGTGGCCCTCATCAAGACTAAGTTGTCCRGACTTGATAGTAGTTATCTCTTTTCTTGAAGTAGTTATTTCCTGGCAGCGTTTAGCTCATGTTACTCTTATAGCAAACTTAGTCAAGACAGTGGCAAGTCCTGTAACTCAAGAGTAGCAAGCCTAAGCCTGTTATCTCAGTTATTCTACATAACAGCATGTTTTTCTAGATTTCAGAAGTTGAAATTTACAAATGTATTTCACAAAAGCTTTAAACTAATTATGTAATCAAATGTGCCATGTTTGCTTCAATTGATTGAAGATGTTGGTAGGCAAAATTGGAGTCTGTAGTGTACCTAGTAGTGGTACTTGTCCATAGACTATGGAAGCTGAAGTCTTGGTGTCTGTACTACAGTTGTAGGATTGACTGAACAAAGATATAGACCAACAAACAATTAGTGTCATTACTGCAGTTTTCTTAGATATCTGACATTCATAAATACCAGGCAAACCTTCTATATATTAAGCTGCCTTCAGAAGAAGACATGGTATTATATCCTTGACTTCCAAAGGAAAAATGAGTACAACCCGAATATTTCCTTCCAGCTTAAGAATGCAAATGTTGACTGGTTAGACCTTGTACCTTAGTTTAGAGTAAGAATCTCATAATGAAAAGTGTCTGTTAATTCAGTAACCCCAGCAAGATGCTGCCTCAGCATTTTAAAGGTATCTAGCCTTGTCTTAAACTGAGTTATTGAAGTACACCAAGTGAAATGCAATGCTTAAGTTGTCCTAGAGAAAACAAGTATCTTGGACAGGATCACTGGAGTGCAACATGCATTTCTGAGCTGACAAAAACTTCTTGTAACAGTGTAAAATAAATCTATCAGTACTTTTTGTCTGGTGACTTATGGTAAGTCTTACTGTTAGCGATATGCTTGAAAAAGGTGTGTTCTTTTAAGTGTCTAAAAAAGACTTGGTGCTTACAGTRGTTAAGTGAGCTTGGGATTACTTAACAGACTGACAGTCTGTTTTTCAGACTGTCAGAACTTGAGGTTTGCAGGTTCTACACCAAAAACCTTCTACCTTAGTTCTTGGTGTAACCTAGAGAGACTTCCAGCCAGCAAGAGAGTTACATAAAAGCTTTGTTCTAAACCAGAGGGCTTCAAGCATACTAAAGAGGCAACAATATGTATTGTAACTGGAAACAGGAGCTGTAATCCTGCCAGGCTTGAWGATAACTCTCACAACTGCAAGAATTTAGCTTCAGAAACACTTTTTCTTAAAGGATATTTGGATTTTCAATCTGAGAGCCAAATTGATGTCTCCTTTTAAAAGTAGAAGTGGGATTTGTATTCCTCTACTCCAAAGGCATGGGATCTGTTAACAAGGGCTCCTCATTTTGGGTCTGCAGGAAAAAATGGTCTGATGCAATAAACTAATATATTGGACAAGATAAGAGATGTTAATCTTCTGATCTTCCTCTTGACCGATAGCTGTTATATAAACTCACTTCTTACAGCTTAGTAAGACAGTTCAAGTGTCACTGGAATTGTGACACTGAATGATYTTATGAATAAGTTCATACTGCTGTATTTYTAGGGTGTGGAAACTGATAAATACTTATTCTGTCAAGTGATCAAAGCATTGTTTTCAAGTACTCTCTTATTATTTTGTGAATGCAACTGATTAATCTGATTTTAGAGAAATCATTACTATACAGAATACTAAATCCAAAAGAATGTGAACAAAAGAATATAACAGTGCCCTTGTGGCTAATATCTGTGGTAAAATGTCACTTATCTGGATGTCAATTCTGTTCTCTTGCAGTGCAACTAGGAGAAAAATCTCCCCATTTGTGATGTCATTTGGATTCAGGTAAAAGTTTGTGCTTGCAATAATGCTGACAAGGTAAAAATAGTCCTCGTTTATGATGTAAGAACTTGGAGAGCTCCATAAGCATCAGTAACTCCAGCCTGAAAAGTACTGAAAAGTACTGAATCCCTTGTCATCCCCAGAAAAGGGAACTTAAAAAAAAAGTACTAGGATTGAAAAAAAAGTCTTAAACAGGTATTACTACAATCTCCAAGGAAAGCTAAAAGTCAGAACTATAAATGTTGTTGACTTGGATAAAACCTCTTCAATGGCTTATTCTTGGCTGGTAGCCTTTGAACAAACAGTTGGTCAGCTGTGTGTAGTCCAGGTGCTGGAACAAGGCAAGCAGTTAGAGACAGTTATTTTTAAGGGACTATATTAAGTCATGAGCGGGAGGGAAGTTGAGTAAGAAGAAAACAGCAATGATACTTGTATGCCTTGAAGCATTCAGGCTTGCACTGCTTCTTGGTAGCTGTGGAATTGTAAATTAAAGCTAAAGCTGTGTCTGAGGTAGGTGTATGGTTCTACACAGATGATGTTCTCTGTGCATATTGCTTGAAAATGCAATTGGAAACCCTCAGCTTCTAATTAAGCAAGCCTCAATCTGTGTAAGAGAGCACACTCTTGCTGGAGCAGTTTAACAATCYGGGCTTATGCTATTCAGTTGATAAATCATTTATTCCTGCCTCTCAAACTTGTATTTTTCTCTTTGCAGAGTATTTGGAGTTGTACTTATCATTGTGGACATTGTAGTTGTGATTCTGGATCTGGCTATCAGTGAGGAAAAGAAGAGTTCAGAGATTCCCGAAGCTATTTCCTTGGCAATAGCACTCTTCTTTCTCGTCGATGTTCTCCTGAGGGTATTTGTTGAAGGGTAAGACCTGGACAAAAATTAAGACCATGGGGCAAGTCTTCAAGCTAGGAAGGAAGTAAAACTTCAAACTTGAACTATATGGACATGATTTAGGCTACTTTTCTGTTCAGAAGYAATAACCATGTCTTTTCTTGGCTGTGTATGTTTGGTAGTTACCCTTCTATAGAACCCTTCTATGTTTTCAGTATAAGTGAGCATATGGAAACTACATCAGCTTTACCATAACTTACATATGTAAATCAGATGTAAGATTGTTTTCTTAGTGAGACTTCAGTGCTTAGTGTTAAGACCTACTGCAGGAGAGCTTGTTTCTAGCAGTATCTCTGTATGATGGCTCTCTTCCTGAAGATACAGTTCACTCTTTGCTGCCTATATTGGCATCTGTCTAAAACTCTCCTTGGTTTCAGCTTCAGGAGCTATTTCCAATCTAAACTGAATATTTTGGATGCGTGTATAGTGGTGGGCACTCTCTTAATTAATTTGATGTACTCCATCTTTGACCTTGAYGCAGCAGAGGAGATACCAAGGTAAGAGTGGTATGGCAGCTGGTAAGTGTGAGCTCTTTTCTTGATTATCTTCTAAGAATTTTCTTGGGCACCTCTAAGCTAGCAAGTGTGTCCAAGATCACAAATGTGACTGTGATAGTGTCACAGTACAGACCAGTGAAGGATAGACCCTTGACTTTGGTCTGTGGTTGTGCTATAGGCTGTCCCTGCCTCAAAGGCAGAGGTGATCTGAACATCCTAGTTGGGGTAACCAAAAGTGAGGCTATCGAGTGCTCTGACTCAAGCACTTTTTGGGGAAAAGGTGTGCAGCAGCTCTGATAGAGAGGAGGGTCTAAAGAAGGTCATAAAGAAAAGTTGGATTACAATAGCAAATGGAACAGCCAACAGACATAGGATCTCCATCTAATGGATCTTGAAATAAAAAGAGTWGCCAAACTGTCTTGTTTCCTTCACTTTGCTTTCCCAAAAGCCCCATGGTAATATATGCTGGATTTTTCAGGCATGCTTTGTGGAGAAAACACATGCTATTTGTGTGCATAAGCGACTTCAAGTCTTATYAACTTCTGATTTCAGTAGCTTGATAGGTATACTCATCTTAAAGTTGTAGTTCTGTATCCATCAGAAATGGATAYATCTCACAGGTTATCTGCCCTAGATTTGACTTAGAGAAACTTTCTTGCATCAACCAGGGAAATGTTGAGTTCTTAAAAAAAAAATTWAAAATCACACCCTCTCCCAAATTCAGCTGACTAATGGGCATAGGAGGAGAATGTTATTCTGGAAGAAACGAAAAAGCTCAGTTATTGGAGAATCCAGAGTTGAACAAACATTTGAATACTTGTTTTCTGTTAAAGTGCTAGCTGAAACTGGGTTTCAAAAAGTAAAACTGTCAAAGGAATAGCTTTTGCAGCCTTATTAATAAAAGGCTGTTTCCTTCTAGGTTGTGTTAGACATTTATCTAAGTTTTTAATTATGACTTCCCATTTCTTTGGCCACATTTTTCTAAAACAGCTTTCATCTTATAGCAGTATCCAGGGGATGAATTGAAGGGGATTAAAGAGAGGAGAAAGGAGCACTGTGACAGGGTAATTTGCACTGCTATCTTTGCTAGGCTATGCTAGTAGTAGGCCTGATCCTACATTGGTCCATCTGGATGTAGATCTGTATGTGTAAATTTCTTGTATTCTGACTTGTTGAAATTGATAGGAGTTTAGAATAGGTTTTTGGCTTACRTAAAGGGGACTTCACACTGCCACTCTCAGAAGACACTCATCTGGGGCCTATGATCTTACCCATTCAGTTTTTTTGGCCCTCTGTAAAGCTTCTCTTGTTAAAGGCTCTCTTAAGTTGTGTTCTGACCAAAATATTACTACCTGATTGTAGATAATACCTCAGATTTGACCAAATCCCAAATTGTGAGATGAGGTTATCTTCCCACCTAACACACCAGTAGTGTCCACAAAATCCAACTAATTTCCAGTAGCCTTATATGGGTTTGTCACTTTTTTCCTCAGTCCTTCTTCAAGAAGAAAACAGTAGTCTTAAAGCATTTGATACACCTCAGAATAATTAGAATTTGAGCAGCTTTTATGTGGATGAGAGCTTTTGTGTAACAAGTGATATTTCAGTGACAGTTCATAGAGGTAATATGCCCTGATGGAGGAGTGTGGTTTCTGTTTCTGGTCTAGCTGGATGTGTTTAGGGATGAGTTAACTGTTTCCTTGAAGTCTGACCTATAAAAAGGACATTGAGGAATGAGAGTTGGATATCAGTCTGGGAGCTAATGCTTAACTGGCTGACTTCCTTAAGGGCAGAATGCAAACTGCTTTTATCTTGAAGAGTGGCTTCTCAGAGTTGGGAGAGGGGTTATGGGGTTTTTACCCTGGTATTGGTTCATCTCATTTATTGCTAGCTCCTAGGAAGTTCTGTTTTGAAAACGGGAGAGTGATACTGAATTAGGAAGAAGCTCAGGGTAAAACTGAAACTTTCCTCCAGACTGTGTTTAACTGGAGGTTTCTCTCCCTTCATGTTGGTGTTCACCAGCATTTTTACATAAGTGGGTTGAAACCTAGAATATGCGTGTGCTGCTTAAAATGTATGCTCACATACCWCCTTAAGGAATTAAATCAGTGTTAGTTTGCCCTTGTCCCCAGGAGTGTGGGAAAATAGTTGTTCCCGTTCCACTGTTTTGATAGAACCGCTCATCTAAACTTCTTTGCTGCTTCAAAGTTCAACAGTAGTCCAAAGTTCCTCAAACCAAACCAATTGTTCAGGTTGCTTGAATGATTAAACACAGGATATATACTGATCTGTTCTCAGGTTTCTTAATCAAGCAATTATGTACTTAGCCTGTCTAGCTTCTTTTCAGTCATTTTCCAGGTGGCTACATACAYTTAAATATATAATTGAGAATAACCTTAAAGGAACAAAACTTTGGCGATAATAACATGGGTAATGTTATTGGAATTTGTTACTTTCTAGCCAGAGGTGCCTGTGGAAGTCTGAGCAAGTAGGGGATTTCCTAGTTCTGTTAGCTCTTCAGAACTTATGCTTACAAAAACTCCTTAACAGTTAACCCATGATATTCTTCAGGTATAGTATTTGTTCCAAAATCAGCTTGAGAAGTCCTAGTTCAATATATGAAACAGAGTTTTAGACTGTGAAGCACCTTTTAAATAGCTTTAACCCTTACCTCTAAGTTTAATTGTGTCTCTTTTCTTTCATGGTGTTTCTGTCATCTAGAATGGTTATTTTCCTCCGAGTTCTGAGAATTGTCATCTTGATAAGAGTATTTCGTCTGGCTTCACAAAAGAAGCAACTTGAAGTGGTGACCAGGAGGATGGTAAGTCAGCCTCTTAACATATCTAGGCTACTACTACTGTTTCCAGCTCTCTTTCTCCAGGCAGCATCAGTAGTAAGTAGCAGGGCTGATCATGGCCTATTAGTCTGCAATTGATAGTATTGCCCAAGGAGCACATCTGTTCAGTGTCCCTAACAGGGCACTGGAACTTTGCCTTCATCTTCAGTAAAGTCTTGTCATTCTCATTGTTGCTCACATAAGCAGCAGCTTGACCTGAAAGGCCGGTGTATCAAAGTGATTGCAACATTACTGTCCCAACTGCACATTTCTAGCTTAGGTGGTACATACATGTTTTCCCTCACATGGGGGAAGGTGGGAGTTCTAATGTGTCTGATGCTTTATTTTGGGTGCAAACAAAGCAATCTAGCCATTGAAGCCCTATCCACTGTAAATGCCTCTTATTCTCATCAGGGTCATTAACGTGGTACTTTAAGCTTCAAGTATGTCCTATTGCTCAGGAATAAGCAGTCTTGGTTATGGTACCCTTAACACCATTTTTTTCCCCTCAGTCTCCAAACACTCAAATAACAATGTCAGATTCGTSCTGCAGTATGCAAAGAATCCACAGTGTTCTTTTCACAAGAATAAACTTTGATAATTCAGGGTAAAAATTCTAYACAGAGCTTCTACTTACAAGGAAATAGAATAAATGTTACTCTAGGTAAGCTGTAGCAAAATGAGGCTCTGCTATGCAAGCTTAACTTGAGAGTCTAGATGGTTGAATTTTCCTAGTAACAGGCAACACTTGGTGATGTTTGGCATTTTTGAGGAAGWTTAACTCTTACTTTGTTTTTTGGTCAGGTCTCTGAAAACAAAAGGCGTTATATGAAAGATGGCTTTGACCTGGATCTCACTTATATTACTGGTTTGTGGAAACAAATGTCACTTTGCAGCATGTTACATCCTGTGAAGACTTCTTTTTCAGTTAATAAGAGCTTGTCATGAAATGCAGACAATGTTTTAGACTAATGAAATTTAGGTATGAAGTCAAACCAGGCCTACTCCTTTTCTGGGGGATTTTGAAATATGGATTCCTGGCTGACACTGTTCTCCAGAATTAGCCTTCTGGGAGAGTTGCACATGCTGTACATAATGATAGAAATTTATCTGAGGCATAGGGAACTAGTGCTGGGAAACTATTGAGTTACAGCATGTTTGCCTCTGATTCTGTGGAGACTGATGCTTGATGGGGGTTGATGCTTTGGGAAGGATTATTTGTCTTGCTCTAGCTGTGCTAAATGTGGAGGAAAATCTCCCAGAAATGGGTAGATTGTTCTTATAATTAAGGTAGGAATAAGGTATTTCATAAGGATGTTTCTCAGTCATGAAGTTCTTATGTGTGAGGGGCTTCCTTCTGTTACTTGTGGTTACTGTCTTCTCAACAGATCGAATTATTGCAATGTCATTTCCATCTTCTGGGAAGCAGTCTTTCTACAGAAACCCCATTAAGGTAAAAATCTTATCTACCAAGTTCACTGTTTCTGAAACCTGTTTCTTTTATAGGTTCCCACTAATTTACATGTGACTAGATCATGTCAGTCCTAGTTCTGCTGCCTTTGCAGGTTGGGGTGACTGATGATGTCCACTATAACATAGACTGTGCTACACAGTCTATGTTATAGTGCCTCAGCTAATCCTAGTCGGTTATATCTCATAGTATGGACACACCAGTGCTTTGATGCTCCTGTTCTTTGGGAATGCTTTGAAGAGCAAAGGGAGTTCTGTCCCAGGCTTGTAATAGTGATATGGTCTATTCATAAATAAAGTTGTTTAAAAGGTCTGCCTACGTAATGTCCTTTTCAGAGCTATGCTTCCTGATATTGTAGAAATATATATAGGGGTAGAAAGATAGCTGCAGTAGTACTTTTGTTCTAGACAAGAACCTGAGCTGTTGGGCTTGAAAGGCCTGCTGTCCAAGGGCTGTTCATGAATGCAGTTGCTGATCCCAGCTGGGGGGTGGAGAGGTTGAGGTGGCAGTGGAAATAAAGAGTAGMGCACTAACTACTCTGAACTCATTATTGCTTAGGAAGTTGCAAGATTTTTGGACACTAAACATCCAGACCACTATAAAGTCTACAATCTCTGCAGTAAGTATGTTTGGCTGCTGACTATAAAGAAATATTTGAGATACAATTTAATTTACAAGTGAAATTTGTGAAACCAGAAGCTAAGCATGCTTTAGCCAAGTTACCTCAGTTTTTTTCACTTTGATCTTTCTATTAACACTACTGTATTTTAGACACTAGTATATGCTCAGACCAGTATTTGTGTGTTACGAGCCACTTCGTTACAATGCTTCTCCCTTCCTGGCATAACTTCAGATCTTTTTCTATAGGTGAAAAAGGCTATGATCCCAAGTACTTTCACTACAGGGTGGAAAGGATCTTCATTGATGACCACAATGTCCCAGCACTGCAGTGAGTCTTGTCAAGAAATACATACATTGTAATAGTTCTATGTAGTCATTTGCTTTGATCCATTGATCTTCCTCTTATTTAGGGACATGCTGAAGTTCACTGCCAATGTCCGTGAATGGATGAGTCAAGATGAGAAGAACGTCATAGCAATTCACTGTAAAGGAGGCAAAGGTAGGATATCTTATGTGTAATCTGTGTATGCTGCAGTTCATACTTCTTTGTTATTCTTATATTTCCTTTCATATGAGTGTGGCCTTAAACCATACTGTGAGATGGTTTTACAGTGTAACTTGATAAATTCTGAAGACACYGTGATGACTAGCAAGAATATAGTACTTTGTGTTTAGTATTGCACAACCCCATTTTTAGGTAGTCTAAACTGGTTCTTAATCTAAGCTGTCATTGTGTCTCTGAAAATGTTCTTCTATAACTTTCTGGTGTTCTGGCAGCTGGGACAGGAGTCCACCAGGAGAGACTGGGGATAGGGGGCTACTGAAACTGCTATGTTTAAAAGTGTTAGGCTGTTGCTTTGGCTTTTGGTAGCCAGTCACCCATGCTGAATATTCTGCATTGTAATATAGCTCTAACAATCTGTTGTTTAGGTTGGAAAAAGACTTCTAAGATCAAGTTCAACCATTAATCCAGTACTACCAGGTCTACCACTAAAGCCTGTCTTTCAATGCCACATCTTTACATCTAAATACCTCCAGGAGGGGTGATTCAACCACTTCCCAGGGCAACCCATGCCAGTGCAACCCAGTTGGAGATGTAATTTTTCTTAACATCCGATCTCAATCTTCCTTGGGGCAACATGAGGCCATTTCTTCTCTTCCTATTGCTTGTTACTTGATGGAAGAAACTGACCCCACCTCTTTATGGCAAAAAGGTCTTATCTGAGCCTCTTTTTCTCTAAATGCTCCCTGCTCTCTCAGGTGCTCCTTGTAAGAGTTGTGCTCCAGACCCTTCCCCAGCTCTGTTGCCCTTCTCTGGACACACCCCAGCATCTCAATGTCTTTATTTCAGTGAGGGGCCCAAAACTTAATGCAGGATTCAAGATACAGCCTCTCCAGTGACAAGCAGAGAGGGACAATCACTGCGCTGGTCCTGCTAGCCACTATTGCTGATACAGGCCAGGATGTCATTGGCGTTCTTGACCACCTGAGCACACTCTAGCTCATGTTCARCTGCTGTCAGCCAGCACACTAATGTCCATTTCTAGTGGACTGCTTTTCAGACAGCTTTTCCTGAGCCTGTAGGGCCTGGGATTACTGTGACGCAAGTGCAGGTCCCAGYCCTTCACTTTATTGAACCTCATGCAGTTGGTCTTGGCCCATTGATCCAGGCTGTCCAGATCCTTCTGCAGAGCCCTCCTGCCCTCCAGCAGATCAACATTCCCACCCAGCTTGGTGTCCTCTTCAAACTGGTGGAGGATGCACTTAATTCCCTTGTTCAGGTTGTTAGTAAAGACATTAAATGGAACTGGTCCCAACACCGAGCCCTGGAAACACCACTGGTGACCAGCTACCAACTGAAGCTAACTCCATTCACCACCACTCTCTGGGCTTGGGCATCCAGACAAGTTTTTACCTAGTGAAGAGTGCGCCTGTCTAAGACAYGAGCAGCCAGTTTCTCCAGGAGAACACTGTGGGAAATGGTGTCAAAGGCTTTACTAAAACCCAAGTAGACAATAACCACAGCCTTTCCCTCATTCATTGAGTGGACCACCATCTCATAGAAGGAATTCATGTTGATTGAGCAGGACCTGCCCTTTATAAACCCATATTGGGTTTATAGCTGGGCCTGATCCCCTGCTTGTCTGTGTGTTGTGTGATACCACTCAAGAATATCTGCTCCATAACCTTGCCCCCCTAGAATGTTCTAGGTACTGCTGGATCTTAAATCAAGAGACGCATAGTGTTAGGTGTTAGGGTACAATGAAGCTTTATGGAAACAAGATAGTGAAAGCTACCAAATGTATGAGCTAAGCTGCAGGTGCTGTCTGCAACCAAGAGTAGTGTGGGAGCTATTGAAATCCATAAATAACTGCAAGTAAGCCAAATTTCCCTGCCAAACATCTGCCACATCTTTAGCCATCCACTGTTTCTACTGCCAATACTTGGCTTAAAGTAGGTGGTTACTTAACATTAAATAGTTGCCCCCAGGTGGAGCTCTTCTTTAAAAGGTTTTGCAAAACTGAATGTTGAAACTACYTGCAGGTCAAAATCGGCATGAAGAACAAGTGTAGGGAGGGTGACTTGATGTCTGAGATTTTAAATTAAAAACTGAAACTATATAGACATCTTCATGCTAGCAGAGTTGATGGCTTCTTAGTGTGGGAAAACAACTGGGGCAGAGAAACAACTTTTGAGACTTGTACAGCATTGGGAAGTGCCAGTTTATAGCCTCATTTAGTAGAGTGGTTCTATTCCCTGCTGAATGGAGTATGCAGATACTGACCACCTGCCTAAGTGTATCTAGTCATGAAAATGTGGGGACAAGGAACAAGATGACAAATTATAGTATTCTGTCTTTAACTCATTCTTCTCAGAAATACAGGTATTTGACTGTCACTTAACTCTTGATATAGATGAGGAAGCAGGAGATGACTTCAACAAAAATAATCCCAACAAAAATAATTCCAAATATTTTTGACCTGCTGTAATTCAACTTCCATTGTATGTCTAATACAGGCAGGACTGGAACAATGGTCTGTACCTGGCTCATAGATAGTGACCAGTTTGAGAGTGCAAAGGTAAAAACTGCTGTTTATTTTTTGATTTGTTTACTATTCAAAATGCCCTTTTAAGATCTACTGAATTGGTGAAATGCCCTCATACTCTGCAAAAATTCTATACTAGAAAAAGGATTCTCTGAAAAATCTGATTTTTAAAAAGTACATGCAAGTCTTGCTACTGTGTAAATTCTGATGGTGGCTGTTCTTGATCTGAAAGAAGTGGGAAAATAGCATTTAACAGGTTACCATCTTGAAGCATTCTTTTTGGAGGAATCATGGGTCTGGGGCCTTGAGCAACAGCTTAAGTTGGTGGTGACTTATAGGTAAACTCCTCTATAGATAGTATCGCTGGTTTTAAGTAACTTTAAGCAATTCTTTTTCCCCAATCTCCATCCAAGTAGTTTGAAGAATCAAGAATTTTCTAGTATTGACAGCCAGCATTACAAAAGGAAGCCGTTCTAGGGAAGGGGAGAAGGATCAAGTCCCAGCCAGGACAGGTGCTTATGCTGCCTTAGTATCCATGGTCTGATATATCAGCTGGAAACTTGGTATGCAGAAGGCCCAGGACACTCGAGGTAGTCTGGGCAGACTGTGTATCTGTTTAATCACTTGTTTTCCTCTGAGTTTGGTTTGTGAAGATATGAACTAATGTTCAGCTTGGTCTCCCACAGACTGCTTGAGAAATATAGATAGTGCTTGAAAGTCATATTGCTTGAAAGTCTTATTGCTCTTCTTCACTCTTTCATGGATGAGAGATTTGTGTATATGACTTCCTAGTTAGTACTTTCTTCTTGTAGTTAAAAGTCTACTTCAGAAGGCAGCAAAACAGCTATTGTATATTTTCACATGCATTCCTTTACTAGACTTGAGTAGTGTAGTTCTAATTTACTGTCCACTCCTCAGGAAGGGCAGTGGTGGTGGGATGCATAGCTTAACTCTTGAAATTATCTTCCTATGTAGGAAAGTTTAGACTACTTTGGGGAGAGAAGAACTGATAGAAGCACAAGTACCAAGTTTCAAGGAGTTGAAACTCCTTCCCAGGTAGGCTTGAGCAGGTACAGTATCAGGAGAGAAACCAACACTAACCTTGTGAGTGCTTATGCTACCTCACCTCCCCTGCCTTGTTTCAGAGATGTGGGTTCCTATTACTTGCTTAACTCCTTATCTTGCATCTTCTGTAGACTGCATTTGCTGGGAAATACTACAGAAGTTTGTGCCTCAGACCACAGTTTTGGGCTTTGCTCATCTTGATTTACTGTTCTGTGTGGTGTGGAGTTGTGAAGTGAATCTGGTGACAGGGATACTTATTATTGCTAGTATAAAATACAAATACAGCTGTTCTTCAGTAAAATGAAAGTGTCTTGTTTGTTTAAGCATTCAGCCTCTTAAAACCACAATATAAAAACTCCTCACTTCTTGCTGAATTAAAAATTACAGAATTCTTCTTAAAATATGGAATTTAAATGCTGATTTAAAATGTAGATGTTGGATTTGTCTAGAAGATTTTTGAACTGGGGAAGAGAACAATTGTCTTTCTTCTTAGCTTTGGAATTTGAAGAGCTAAAAACTTGGAGTAGAAGATCTATTTATATCTTAYTTCTGCTTAGAATTAATCTGTGTGGGGTACAGAAACTGCCTAATATGTCTGTGTTTTTTGCATTACAGAGTAGGTATGTTGGGTATTATGAGATCCTGAAAAACAAGTATAACTTGACACTTCCACCAGAGAGACAACTCAAAATAAAAAATCTCAAAATCCACACTATACATGGTAAGAACTCTTGTATTTGGACAATCCTCTATCTAGTAATGGCTTCTTATTACAGACAGATGGTAACTGTCACTCTTGCTAAACCTATGATAGGAATGTAGACTTACCGGAATTGGAGAATTTAAATGACACAGAACACAATGAAGACTATTTTGGAGTGAGTTGCTCTGTATTATGTAAATTTCTGGATGTCTGGCCAAATGATTGCTCACGTACAACCTGCTTTATTTTTGAAGGGCAATCACTTTTCAAGTGAGACTAACTCCCCAGGTGTAGCTGGATTCACTAATGTTTCTTGTACATCCCTGTTTCAGTACATGGGTACTGGTGGTCTTGATTGATGRCTGGAAGTTCATCACTCCTTGTTCATCACACCTTGTTCAAACTGCTGTTATAGTTTAGGCAGTGGAACTAGATTCCACATTAGCCTGTTCCCCTACTGGGAATCACTGTTACTTCAAAATAGAATTTTTAGCCACTGAATCCTGGCTTACCTTTAGCATTTGAGTTCTCTAGAATCATTTCTTTCTGGAAAGAAAGCACTTTTGAATGGGATTGCATTGGTTTTCATGACCACTTATGCTTCCAGCTAACCTATGTTGCTCTGGTATAATGCAACACTTTGTTCCTAGGAATTGGGAAAGGCAATGGAATTGATATGAAGGTGCAGATAATAACAAGGAAGCAAGTTGTACTACAATGTGTATGTGCCAATCAAAAAAACTGCAAGGTGAGTACTATGAAGGCACATGAATTGAGTCACAGAAGCTGAAAGCTGACTAATAGGTCAGAAATGTTTTAGTTTTATGCCCAATATTCAAATTCTATGCAATCTAACTAAATGGATGATGTAAATTCCAAGAGAATGAAAAAGCTGAACTTTGCTAAATCCTAGGAAAAGTAGTGGTAAGATAATGAAAGTTTTCCCTGGGACTCACATAATGCAAATAGTTCACCCTGTCCTGAGTAGCTTAAACTGCTGGCTATTATTCTAGCACTGCTATTCTGTTAGTGTACTACTAAGAATGAGTAGTTAGGTGTTGCCATGAGTTGGTCCCTTGTCTCGTTACAGAAATGTTCATAAAACAATAACTTTATTCTGTTCTCCAGCACTTCTTTGATTCTGAAAGGGACTGTGTAGTCATTGGCTTGGAAGACTGCCCTGTGCTAAGTGGYGATGTGAAAATCAGATTTGAATCAGATTCTGTAAGTATAGCAGTGATGACCTTCACTTGGGTATGGGGAGAGGCTGCAGTGCAAACTGCAGTGGGACCTGCCTGGCTGGGCAGTGTGGGGCAGGATCTGTTCCTTCCCAGTGACTCCTGCTGCAGTGAGGGATGCAGCAAGTGATGTAGCATCAGCCTAGGCAGAAAGGGGAATCACCTGGATGTTCAAACAGCAGTACACCCAAGATACAGTTGGGTACCTGTGGCTCCTAACCATGGGGCTCTTACCTCATTGTATTAAGTGACTTGATACTGAAATAATTGCAGAGAAAATAGTGATCTGTGTGTGATATTAGGCTCTTCAAGTGTATTGACTGTGGCACTGTAGCTTTGTAGATCAAATTAGTGAAGACAGGTATTATTTGCTCTAAATAAGGAAGTTCTGTTATGTAACACAGTTCTTAAATGAGGTATTTGTGTTTAGAATCTCCCGAAAGGCTATGATGGCTGCCCGTTCTTTTTCTGGTTCAACACTTCCTTTATTGAAAACAACAGGTAAGTGATTATAGTGAATGCCTTCAGACACTAATTTCTGGTCTCTGAACAGAGCTGAAAGATGAAGTAAAACAGGCCTGATCAGCCAGCTAACTTCCATATGGGTACTGGTCTTAGACCCTCAACTGTAACTTGTGAGCTGGCAGTTTCTTGCACTGTGCCAAATATTGTAGACATAGGGGGGTTTTTAATCTTAATTTAAACCATTGGATTATTTCTTCAGTTCTCTCTAACCTTTGTTAATAAATTTGAATTAAAAAATGTAATGCTGACTATTCAAATTTGCCATCCTCTTTAGTATGACTGCCTGAGAGGCAGAAACTCACCCAGTAGCCTAGCAGGCAAAAATGAAGACCACAATTAAAGGTACTGATGCTTGGCATCACAAAGAAAGGCCTTCTTACAGCTTCTCATGCGTTTGATAAAGTTAGAAATTACTGTGATTTTGCTTGCTGAGACTAGAACTCCTGGAGAAGCTCCAGTTGGTGAAAGTTTTGCTTGTCTACCTTGCTTGGGGAGTGATGTAGAAATGCAGAGACAGGAGAGCCTTATCTTTGGTCTGCCTTGTTTGACAGATTTAGATAGAAGAAGAGTGAACTTGGCATGAGATATAATTGCTGTGTTCTCCATAACTGGAACAGGAAGAAAACAATTTTTACTTAACTGATCCTGTTAGAGCCTGAGGAGAGACAGCCATGACTCTGTAACAGTTAAGATAATATGCTGAGCCAGCAGTACAATCTGCAATCTAAATGCAGATGTGTGGTTAGACCAAGACAGTGCCAGCAGAAATGTACATCTGCTTTCTGATAGCCCTGCAACATTGGCGTCTTGAGGGTTTTGCTGAAGGGCTTTGTTTCCTCCAGAACTATGGAGGATGCCCCACCAAGCTACCTTTTCTCCATTTCTGCCAAGGCCTTCTGGTAGACCTGAAGTGGACTAGGTCTGATCAGAAGTGAAAGAGCTGCTAAGGCAATTCTTCTGTCTCAGTATCTCCAATTCAGACATGGCTTATGTGCAAGTGCTTTGCCAGTGCTTAATTGATAACTGATATGAATTTGGTAAACATTAAAATTGGAGAACATGTCTGATGAGGTTGAGTACTGAAACAAATCTTTGCCTTTGGGAAGGYTGGTTATTAAATTCCTGGAACTTGCATCATGTCAGGAGACCTTGAGCTGAATGCAGCATGAATTTCACTGTGGGGCTCGGGAACCAAGCCACAAACCTATCGGTTGACTTTGTTTCTCAGACTACATAAGATGCAAAGCATTGTTCAGGCTTGGCTGATTTCTGTTTGAATTCAAGGTCTGGAGCTGTATTTAATATTCTAGGGCTGAGCTAGATCTCTCAGCTGGCTGAAAGGAAAAGCATGTTTAAGCCTGTAAGATATGCTACTGAATTTTGTCTTTCAGACTCTACCTTCCCAGGAATGAGCTGGATAACCCTCACAAGTCTAAAACATGGAAAGTCTATAGTGAGACGTTTGCTGTGGAGGTGAACTTTATTGATCCATAAGGGAAATCTGAAAGAAGGGAAACATGTAAAATTAATCTCTTTCCTGGAGAATGTCTTGCTGTTTCAGTATAAAGGGAATGTCACTTGGATGTAGTTAATGTATTTCTGTGTAGATACAATTTCTCAAATAAAGTTACATGAAGTTCTGTTGTGCAGGGCAACAATACTCTGAAGAGTTATTTAGCGTCAGTTGACTGTCACATCATGGGCTGTTGGATCCTTGGAGTTTAGATATCTCTGCATACAGGTAATTCCTGTTTGAGTAATCTAAGACAATTACCTGTCTTTAAGCATGAGCATTAGCATTATGGTGGGTGAAGATCAGCTGTCTGCATGAGACTGRAAAAATCTGACATGCCTCCTTCAGCATTGGAGTTTTCCACAGATCAGTAGAATGGGAATTTTGAGGGAGAYGTAATTATCTTACTGTGTAGGATTACTGCTTCTTTAGCAGAAGCCTTGGCATTGAACTGCTCTTTTATCAGGAAGCAGTGATGTCAGGCTTTGAGCAACACATGGCCTGGGAGCTGCTGTAACTCCCCTCAAAGGGCTGTGATGGCCACTTGCCCTAAGGCTTAAGTATAGCTGCCATCAGATCCTGAGCATTCCARTTGCCTGGGATCAGTTAGTGTGGCTGCCTCAATACCTGCATGTGAGTGGTTTGATCTGATTTGAGAAAAGAATGCAAATTTGAGCACTGTGATTTGAGCAAATAGTGCARATGCTCACTGGCCCCTCTTGAGCTATACTAAGACCTGTAATGCACAAACTTCCAGGATGCTTATTCTTCTTCCAACTATTCTCAGCATTGTAGCTCTTCTGTGGAGACTGTATCTTCATATATGTGAAACATGTTAAGGTGTTAGCTTCATTAGTCTTTTTGTTGTTAGGAATCAAAAAGTAGAAGGCAAGCAACATAGCTTTCCAGTTAATATAGTAAGCAGGGAGGTCAATTACCTTTCCTGTGCTTACTTGAAGGTAGYGGTGTGGTGTACTATGAAGTATACCATGTGTGGGCTCAACTTTTGCTATTGCTCTATATTTACCTAATATTCAGGAGCTGGGCTCAYGAAAGCTGCTTCTATCAGCACTGTACTTCAAGTGTGGAGGCTGAAGCCAGTTTTGAAAGACTAACACTGTCACACCAATTGTTTATAGTTCTAGGTGCAGGACAGAATGTGCCTGGGTCACTTAAATACATGAAGTCCAAGTTCCTGTGCAAAACAATCCCAGATAGAGCTGGCTCATCCAATCTCATTCAGTTCTGTCTCCACAGATAGGATTTTTTTATGCAATACTTAATCTTGTAGCTGCTTTTTTTTTTCTTCCAGGCTGGAATTTCCCTTATTCCAAGTTGTACTTGTTACATCTTGTCCTGCCCCTGTAAGCCTCTGCAAAGAGCCTAGCTCTATCCCCWTTGGGCATTCTATTTGCTCATGAATGATGCAAATGTAGACTCTTCAGCTTTCTATAAGGGGTGAACAAACTATTTTCGTTGCCCTCGGCTTGACTTGCTCCTATATGTCAACACCTTTCTTGTGGTGGGGAACATGGAACTGGATGTGGTCTTCTGTGTCTGCTCTAACAGATGTGAGAGGTACGAGCAGAGGGTCACAACTGTCTTACCTGCTGGCTCCGGAGCCTGCTTTAGCASCTTAGCCTTTACTGCAAGGGTGTGCTGGCTCATGTTCAATTCCTGTGATGCCATTCCCCAAACTTTAGTGTTGCTATGGAGCCAACTGCCCCTCAAGGTTAAGTGGTGCTGGCAAAGTTAATGCAAGACCCACCTCTGTGGCCTGAGAAAAGGAAGTAATACCCACTCACACAGATGTGAGACACTAGAGGGCAAAAGGGCGAGCAGGCATTTTGTAAGGCCTCAGTATCCACATAAATGTGGCTAGGGGCTAAAAGAGGATGCCCTTTAATTGCAGCTAGAAGTGGCTGATGACCAAGTTCATTTTGGCTTAGCTCAGGCAATTGGATATCACTGTCCTAGGATGCCCTTTTTCATGGCAGGGCACTTAAGGTGACCCATCTTCCTGCACATGGAGTAAGCCAGTTTTCTCAGATAACAGCAGCAAGTCGGATTTTTCCAGCTGAAGCACATGCTGTTAAGTAAAAACTATTGTRTAAGCAAGAATGAGGAACTGAATAGCTGTACAAGGGCTATACCACGTTTCTCTTGGGAGATCCAATCATCACTGCTTAGAAGATGGTAACAATAGGCCCTGCACTCCGTGTTGCATTGATCTTCACAGGATAGTGGAGACTCATCCCTTACATATGTGGAATTTAAGTGACCTAAGCTGGAAATAAGTCTSTATCATGGTAATCTAGAAACTTGGAATTTGAGGTAATACAAGAACTGACTTTGGTACTAACAAAGCAACAGGCCAAGTGTTCAGCTATGGGCTTCATTTTCCATATATGTAAAATCAGCAATTTCACAGTGCCTTGCTCCACCTACCCCCTTCCCTTGTGTTTTGAGGGCTTCATGTGTTCATTGATAGTATAGTCTTTAATTTCAGAGARGTAGTGATGCTGAATTCAACCTCTCTTTGTTTCTCAGCTAGCTTGTTAAATGGCATGAATAATCACCAGGAACTCAGTTAATCAAATGAAACTTTATTTCTGTGAATTCCTATACCAACATTATGAAGTTTTTAGCTGGACAGCTGATACATGTGTACAGCTTAAGCAGCTCTGAATGGAAAAATTACTGCTTACATTAACTTCAGAAGGTAAACTCTCAAAAATGCCACCAGCTTCTTGCTATAGGTTGTTTTAAATATCCTGCTTCTCTTGAAGCTTCAACTTTTGTATTAAAAACTGCAACCATGAGCTTTAAAAAATGAAAGCAAAGACAAATCTAAGAAATAGATTGAAGTATTTTGCTGATGTGGAGTCAGTCGTCACCTTTTAATGACTACTAGAAACATGTACAAATATACTATTTCTCTTAGCTAGACAACTTTGAAAAGACGGGAAGTCTAACAACTCTTAAAGCCTCATCCTCCTCCCTGAATGATTTAAACATTTGATATAAATTCCTTTTCAAGTACTGGCAGTGYAGAGTATTGCTGCCCCTTGTGTGTACCAGTCAATCAAAGTGAATTGGTATAATAGACACTGAAGATTCTTCACCTATGCCCTGCYTTAACTGCCTTTTCTCATGGTGTGTGAAAGGGGGATCAATTGTTCCTTCTGCACTTGGAGGCTGAGGAGCAAGATTTTGTGGAACTGCAGCAACAACCTACCATCAAAGAGTCTGCAACAATGCAAGGAATGAGCCAGTTTAAGTGCACTCTGATTCTACTGCAAGAGATTGCAGGTATTGAGGTGATTTCATCTACACTCAAAGTTTGTTTTTGTTTATGGGATCTGGAAGGGAAGCTGTACTATGCAAAACTAGGCTGTTCCAACTCATTTGAATGTTATCTGTCACTGACAAATGTGGTTGCTGTGACAAGTTGCTACTCTCTATGTAGCTGTGATGATCTTAGTGGGTCAAAGTCCTCTGTCTGTGCCCCCCATACTGGGAGGTTGCACTTGCAGCATCCAGGCAGCATCTCTGTACAACTACAGGCCAAGTTTGTGCCGTTCTAAGACCTGCTTTGACTTATTCAAGGATAAGGCAGTAGCTGCTTCCTACAAGGCAGAGCATGTTTACAAGAATATTCTACTTGAAGAACAAAAATGGCATTGGGAAAGAGGTGTCACTGCATCATTTTGGGTAATACTGACKAACTGCATATTTAATCAAGTAATATGACCAGGCGGGCATGCCCTCCAGGCCTGAACGTGATACAGGCTTTCCAGTCATATGAGCTTTTTTCACTCAGCTGAAGAGGCACAGCAARTGCCAAGACTCCAGTCCCAAAAAGACTCTGCTACGCTAGAGACCATGGTGTCAATTGCCTTTACCAACTCAGTTCTGGCTTTCTGTTCCTCTTCAGCTTCCTGTCCTTCCAGCATGTGGCCTCATTCATGCCAAGGTGACTTAGGCAAGAACCTGCACAAAGTTACAATTCTGTGCTCAAAGCCAGCAGCTATTTCCAGCAGCGTCCCTTATGTTAAGTGGTGCTTAGCATACTCCATTTAGAAAATAATAAAATCCTGCATAGCCTCCTTATTGTTACTGTGCTTCTTTTATCAAAAATGCAGGCATATCTCAGGCTCTGAGTCATAGAAGGTAGGGGATGAACGTTTCCTATTTTTAATCGGTTAGCAAATTTTTAACTTCAAACCCATTCACTAGGATAGTGTATGTAAGTCAGACACCCTCTGCCATGATCTTGGCAAGTCATAGAGCAGCAAAGAGGTGGAGAAGGACATGGCCTAGCTGGAGAAGGAAAGGTCTCCCTAGGTGAGGGATATGTCCAAGTAATCTATAATCAACAAGATTAGATAAGACTGATGTTATTTTGAGTCAGACACCGGCAACAACTGCAAAAGGTCAGCACTGCAGCAGTTTTAAAACCAGTGCTTTGCCATAGACAAATCACAACCTACTGTTGCATATTACATTAAACCCTACAGGTCAACGTAAATCTTTTTAGCACCATTACAGGTCAGGAAAGACATTTATGATGTGCAATGTACCTAGTGCAGAATGTGTAAGATGGAGATAGTTCTGCTTCTGCAATTCAAGCGACATGTAAACACCTCCATCAAATCACCTGTTTTTAAAAAAATTACAAATCCTAGACAGGAGCTGAGTTCCTAAAATTAGGTCACTGATTTGGTTCTGCTCAGACCATCATGTGATCTATGTGTTTTTCATCATTTATTTAAATGACCCTTAAACAATCTCTTGTTCTTCATCTGCTAKAAGGTATCAGTAAGAATCTATTTGTTTCATCATAAGTTTCCGGCTATATTCGTAGGCAAGGAACAGTGCCCCATTGGCCACAAATGCACGGATCATAGTTGGTGTTAGTCCAGAATACAAGGCAAGTACACCTGGAAATGAAACCAGAGCCAGTTAGCAATTTATTTAAGTGGCTTTCTGCCTCAACCACTGTGGTCTTACCTATGAARGATACTGAAGCACTGCTTTTGCTTAGAGGAACATGAACAAAGAGAGCTGAACTCACTGGTGTAACTACTGACTGCAGTGTTACTGGATACTGATATATAAGAGCATCTAATGTTGTAACAGGAGTTTAACCATGTAAGGGCTTATATTAAATGCTTATTTCAGGTATGACCATGTCTTGTTCACCCAAGATACACGTGACAGTGGCTGTACCACAATTGGCAAGGGGGCAGCAGGACTATGTTAGAGCTGTGCCCCAAGTCTGATGAGTATCTTACCCACCACTGGGGCCAGGAATCATAGCTTACTGCCAAGTATATTCTTAGACCCTCTTCCAAAGTGCCTGACACAGGCCTTTTCCAGAGAGGAGATGCTGAGGTAGATRCCTCAAGATGCCAGGCTCAATAGGGCTGTTTGATAAATCAATCCTCAGCCATATATTAACTTCTAGAGGTGAAGAAAACTGCATGGAACTTATTCGTTCCTTCAGTTCTCATGTATAGACTTGGTCATGAGTAATGGAGCCCATTTCTTTATCTGCTTTTAATGCACAGTAAGCTTCTGTTAGCTTTAAGTGAATCATCTGAACAAAGAGGGAGGATAGATGCAGCAGGTCTCAGTTTCTAGATTCTAGGCTTTCTAGACTAAATGAAATAGATACTTATTTGCTAGAAACAGTTATTGCCTGTTTTTAACAAATTACTGGACTAGATTTCTTAAGCGACTTTGGGTGTTTGAGTATACAGATTTCAGTCTGCAGCCCTATAGCTTCAGGTGATGTGCTTGCATACTCACCTTCAGTTCTCACAACAGTTACAAACGTTCCCATAAAGCCTGTCTGTTTTCCAGCCATTGAAAGAACCTGAATCCTAGATTTGACACAGTCCACAGGATACACAGCAATCCACAGACAGCTGCCTCCAAAACCTCCACTTASTAACAAAGGAATGGGACCTAAAAGTTAAGAAATATACTTTTATACACATCACAACACAAATATATATACACATCACACAAATATAACATTATTTAATCTATGGGAGTCAAAGAGAACAGAGGAACCTGCTCCCCCACTAACCTTTAAGTTAATTTCAAGCCACTGGGTAAGTGCAAATCTTAATTAGAAACACAGAAGTTGTAAAGAGTGCCTCTTGGATTATTGGCTATGCTAAGAAGGTATAACTCAGAATTCAGTTTTGACTGTATTAACTAAATTAACTTCTTTAACATTTGTATTCACTTTCCAAGGTTAATTGTGAAGTGGTTTAGAGTAACATCATATAGTGTTACTGATCACATATACAGTTTTGTTTGGCAAAGTTTTGTGATCAGTCATTATTTTCATGAGGCATCCTGATTTTGTTTCATATCAATTGTTTGTAAACATTTTGTAACAAGTGAGTCCAGAATGCATGCAGCTGAAATCCTGACTCAAAGCAAGACAAAGTATTACTGTTCAGTCTTTCAACAGGAGACAATCTTTATTCTGGCATCACCACATTTTTTTCATTTCTAATGTTCAACCTCAGTGTTTTCTTATGATCATTGTAATTACATCTAATGGCCAGCATACATTTCAGCATATACTTGAACATGCTGTTTAAGAGAATGCAGCTAAATACTCCGATACTTTAACTGGTAGCTGAAATGAAATAGTTCAGAGTTGAGTTACACTGTAGGGTCAGGTATTTCAGCAGTTTCGTAGTGTTAGCTCACAGCACTCATTCTGCATTTATAATACATCCTGCTTCATTGGAAAGTGGCTATTTCAATAATKCATTACTGTGTATACACAAAATGCAGACTTCCATATGTATGTATAGTATGCCTAGTTCCCTTCATTTTGCATGTATTTTACAACTGCTGTGCATCATTAGTATGTCTTCGGGGAAGATATGCCCCCCTTTATGTCCCACATGACAGCATGCTAAAGCCCACCTGTAAAAAAAGGCACCATACCTAATTCATCTTTTGATCTCCCAGAGGCAAAGAATGTCCGGCTCAGTTCATACCCTCCAAAGAAGAAGAAATAGCCTGGGACTTCCCGCAGCAAAGTGCTTGACAGGCCACGATAAAATCCCAAGGGACCATCCTTTTGGATGACACCTTTCACCACTGACCAAACTGTACTGAGAGAGGTTGATCCAGTTAGTGATAATAGCCAGGTAACAAGAGGTTGCAGAACAATAGGCAACTGCAGCAACCATTAAGGGTGAGACCTGCTGTGCAAACAATTGAATTAATGTAAGATTTAGAGCAAGATTCTCCTGGGAGTCCTTCACTGGCATCCAGCTTTACTAGTAGCTGGAAGGTCTGCAGGCTGTGACCCTSTCAGCCACAACTCTTCCATGGTTAACAGAGCACTATAARTGTGTCACTGAGCCAATACAAGATTTGAAGAAATAATACACAAGAAAGGGTTTCAGAGATACTGAGYAGGGTGTATACTTACTTATGGCCCTGGATTATCTTTCCTGACAACTGCATTTCATGCATGGCCTGTAGCCGGCACTTCACCAGCTCTGTGGGACAGAGGACAAGGGTGGCAAAGGCAGAGGCAAAGGAGCCTGCAGCAGCATTCTGTAGATCACTGCAAGAAAGAAACTGCAGAAGGTATTTGGGCACTGACCTTTGGTGCAATGGAGCCACTGCACCAGCAGTCAGTTTCTTGAACCTGTACTCTAAATAGCATCAAGAAAAACTGACAGTCTTGAGGGAAAGATTTTCAAGGGCAAAGAGCAGGAACTTGAACTAGGGGGAGGAAAACCTAGCTCATCCCATTGTCTTATACAACTCAAAGACACCCGTTTTGATACCAAAGAGTTATATTGCAACCTCTACCCGTTCTGCTATATTTCAGTGATTGCAGCAGAATAAAAGCCAAGAAGGGGAGGATTTGATAGTGTTTTTTAAAAAAAACTTGTTTTACTGGGCAACTTTTAGTTACTAGTTACTTCCTCAGAGAGATTAGGAGCAATAATCACCTCATATAGATAGATGTCAGTATTTTCAAATTTGCCTTACCACTGTTGATAAAGGCTTTCAGTGGAAGATGCTAGAAAACTGAAAGTAGGCACAATGGAACAATGTAATCTTTGTATGGATGCGCTGTCATGAATGCAACCGTGTGAATCAGACACACCACAACCATAAACCACACTACCAAACAAGACAGCACTGTCATCTGCAAAGACTCAGTGTTCCAAAACTGGGGCTTACTTTGTGATGATTTTACACATACCACAAATTCTGGGTTGCTAAGCTGCCAGGACTCAAAAGGCTGATACTCCAGGGCCATATTGCTTTGTGCTGCATTTTAAACATGCTCCTACAAACATTGGTGTGTTTGACAGGAGCTGCACAGTAGCACAGAAGTGGAGCTTCTCTTTCAGAACCTGGGAAGTCAGCACAGAGACTGATCTCATTGCACAGAAATTCTTTCCATTCAAGGGAGATGTTTCCCCTGTGCTCAGCAATTTGATACATCTATAGTAACAGAGATTAMAGCTACAACTTTTCACCTTGAAGCATCACGGGGCTTGAATTGTGACATGAAGCAAAGCTCATGACATTCAGGTACGGCAGTACTAAAAACTGCCRAAGTGGAGGAAATCAGTAACTGCCTGCAGAGCAGCAAATAAAATTTAGCACTTCTCTTTCCATTTTGTTGTGTTACTTTAGACTTTAGCATGGAATTAAATCTGTTTGGTTGGACTAAATGTATGTTAAAAGATAAGCAGAATTGTTTCTCTCTTCATTTGTTTTCTTTGTGACTTATGCACCAGTRGCACATATTCCTTTAAATGAAAAATGCTTTATAGCTTGTCCTTGTTTTGCCAGGCTTCATACACTGACCAGGGTATCCCTAACCACAAACCGGCTAGACAAGCTTGTTCCCAAGCCATTCGAAGGTATGGCTGAAAAGGTAACTTAAAACCAAAATATTGTAGCTGGTTTTGAGAAAACTCAAATATAAATTAATGAAGAAGTGAGAAGCATTTGCTTATACATGGGAAGGAAAAATGATCACGTTCACCTCAGTTGTCAGTGGATGCATTTTCTTCTTCAGGCTAAGATAACATGACAGTTTTTGAAATAGCAGGGCAATGAAGGTAATTTTAGTTTTTTACTTGTCATGTCTGGAAGTTAGCCACCTCGTCAGGGCTGCTTCCCTTCCCTCCCCTACAGCACACTACAAGGGCTGCTTGACATTTCCACAGATAGAATGGGTGGAGCTGTCCTRGACAGACCACACGTCCTCATCAGGCCACCACTGAAGACCATGTCAATACAATTCTCTCTCTTATATGTACCTCATAAAGTGTCCCCCACAATGATCCAGATGAAGAGAAAAAGGAAACAGTACCAAGGGAGAATCTTTGAAGTAAACTTAAATTTAATGTTTTGTCCTGGCACAGCTCTGCAGTCACATTATTTGACCTTGAATCAACAAGGCATTAAAAAGCCATCTTGGATCTAAAAAGCACYATTACCTGGACAAACGAAGAAGGGTGAGATGCCAAAGGTGCTTGCTATTGCTACATACTCAAATTTCAATTCTGTATTAACTCTGACGAGAGAGTAGCACACCAATGTACTATTTCAAAGTTTCCTGCACTACCTCCCTTATATCCAGCATGACTATGCTGCCTCAGTCACATGAGATGATCTTAGGATCTCTGCACCTCTGCAGTATACCTCCCAGGATGATCACAAAAGATGGTGAAGAAGTGAAGCATATTGCTGGTAGGCCTACCTCCTACATTTTAGTGGGTAGGAAAAAGTAAGGAGTTTGTAGGCTGAGCAAGCTCTTGAACCTTAAATAAATACATTTTTAAAAGCAAGACAATATTGGAAAAGTGCCCTTTCTCCTTAGTATGCCTTCTGGTAAGCTGTGATCATCTAAACCAGCCAGCTGCAGTAGATGGCTCTGTTGTAGTTAGACACTGTGTTGTCACACAAAGACCTATATTCCAAAATAAACTACATTGTACACCGGCAGAGGAGAGCCTGAGACCTCACCTGGCCCTGACAATACAATACTGGCAAATAGCAATCACTTTTTTTTTTTTTTAATTATTTATTTTGAAATAAAACCCAGATATTTATTACTTACCTGAGCTTTGTTTTCCTGTCTACTCCAACAATCCTTCTCACGATTTGTTGGCAAAATCCATAGCACATGAACAGAACGGAGTTCTCTGCGATGTTGGCTACAAGTGCTGGTGTGGTTCCCTTGTAGAAGCCTCGAAACCCCACTTGCTTATAGGTTTTCACAAAGCAGTCCACAAGTCCTTTGTACATGCTGGGGAATGTCTGCATCTTCACCTTTGCAGTGTCAAAGGGCTGGCCAGTCACCACGCAGGCTGTCCCACCTAGGCAAGCAGTGGAAGTTAACAGGGTGGCTGAAGATAAACACAACTGCAACACCTATGCTTGAGCACCAATATTAGGAAAATCACACAGAAAGCAAAGACTAATTCTCTGCAGGAAAGAGACAAGTGCATAGATTTTAGCACAATGGCATCGTCACTGGTGAATTTAGTTACCTTAAAAAAAAAAAAGAATCAGGCGTAGGAGCAGTAGCAGCATGATTCTCATTAAACATTTCTTTATCTTTAAAAAAAATCATCTAAATGAATCAGCTCACTTGTGTAAATTTGTGCTGAATTAGAGGTATTGTTCTGCAATCAAGTCACTTGTGTCAACGAGTTAAATAACATTTTCTTTTGCTGATTAATGCAGTGGTTCAGAAGCCATTCCTGATTTTACATTTCAATAATAATAATAATAAAAAAAAAAAATCCCAGCCCTGGAAGATTAGTAATCAAGTGATTCCTTGAAGAAAACTGCTGGGAATGCTGAAATGATCATCCATAATACATTGATAATGGAAGACTCAAACCATTTACTTCAAAACTCCAGATGGCTCTCAAGCACATTTATTTTGAGGGACTGGAAGAAAGTGTTGAGTATAAGCTGAAAAAGGGCAAAAGGGCCAAGTTTCTCAACATGTTATCTTTTCCAAACTGAACTGCAAGGTCAATACCCTCAAAACTTGTGTGAYATTTCCGTCAATGTCATCAATAACCATTTTGCTCACTATGCAGTGTTCTTCTGCAAGATCTAACTCAATTCTGTAGTCTGCGGGAAGAGCTAATGTTACATTTTTTCAGTAAGAAACAGTGATAGCAATCTATTAGAAGCCGATACCTGACAGAAAGCACATGATAGGTGTACGTTTATACACACTTTATGGTTTTGTTCTTTTTAGCAAGAGAGAAGAACTGTACTGAAAGGAAACTGATCTTTAACCAAAGCACAGTCAACATGCTTATACCTTAAATTATCTGTAAATGCAGAGAACAAAGTAAGTGAAATGGAAACAATAGTGTGATTCCAATTAAGTTCTTTTTTAAGAGGGGAGAAGAGTAAGTGACTCTGTTTAACTAGTGTTACTTGCAATCCATTTTACTCTTTGCAAACACATTTGTATAGCATTGCTCTCGCTTCTCTGGAAAGAGGTACTTGAAGCCTTTGAGAGAAACTCACAATCTAGCTGCCATAAAATCTCATTCTCAAGCAGATGGATCAATAAAAACTTCAGAGCAAATCATGCAAGGAAGCATGAAGAATTTCCTGCTCTGGAGGAAAAAACAAGGAGAAAAGTAGCTGGCTCAGACCACTAGCACCCATGTAAACTTCAATTGAAAAGCAGAGCTGGAATGGCTCAGCCAATGTTATTTCCAGGGAAGTCAGGTAGATATTAATCTACAGGACAAATGCTAGGTTCCTGTAATAAAATAACGGCTGTTGGAAGATGCCCAGGAAAACTGGGAATGGTCTTAGAAACATAAAGCTGAAAACCTGGGAGTTGAMAGAAAATGTTTGTTCCAAAGAGACTGTCATTGGAGGTCGCACAAGAAACCTAGTAAACTGCAGCAATAAACTTTGTAAGCTTTAAGATAAAAAAACCTCCAAAACCAAGAGTCATATTTGTTATTAAAA